TTATTTATTGTGTGTGGCCAGCTTAGCCCACCAGGGGGCGGGCGGGCTGGCATGTGGTGCTGGGGGATTGAACCGAGGTCCCTGTGCTTTGCTTGGCTTAGCTTGTTCTAAGTAGGTGCTTTAGACCACTGAGCCATCTCACCAGCCCCGGAATTATTATTATGATTATTATGATCTATAGTCAGAATTCGCTTAAGCTTTTTGAGGATAAGGAATTGTACCTTCATCTGTAAATATTTATTGGTTAAGCTGAATAAGTTGGTTATGAATAAAGACGACTGTTTCCTAGGACAAATATCTTACATAATTTTATTTCAGCAGTGTTAAGAAATTTTTTAACACTTTCATATTTCAAGTGTGTACAGGTTACACTTATACAAAATAAATAATTTAATGCATTTGTAATATAATATTTTCATTGAAATGATTTCATAACAAGTGTTTGGGGTGTCATATTGATTAATTACTCTATTTTCCAGATATTATATTGAAATCTTGCTGCAGGAATATAGATTAAGTGCTTTTGTTGATGTTGGGCTGTACCAGCGTAGAACTGTATATACTGAAGAGCAAACAGGAGATGCAATAAGTGAAGAACAACTTATAAAATCCCAGTCGACAGTTATACAGGAAGTACAGGTATAAGTACAGGTATTTGTACAGTATAAGTACAGGTATTTGTTTTGATGACAAATAGACTTTATCAGAGGTTTATGTCTAGGGCTGGGGTATAACTCAGTGTAGAGCCCTCGCCTTATGTTCCTAAGGCCCTGGGTTTGATTCCTAGAACTTCAAAAAATAAAAATAAGAGTAAACTTGGAAAGATAGAAGCTTTATTCAGCTCTTACTTTTGGTAGGTTAGATGTTGTTTTAGGAGAATGTACCATAGATGAGAATTAAGTTGTGGCTTGGAGTATCTATAAATATTAAATATTCCAAATCAAATAAGCTATTACAAAATAAGACACATTTTATGTAGTTTAGAATAGTTTCTGATTTCTAGTCAAGCAGAGCAGTAAAGAGGTATTTAATACCTGAATTATGGTGACTTAGTGTTTCTCCATATAGTAAACATTTGTATTTTAAAATTTTTTCTTCTGTATTTTTATATTGGAAACAAGGTTATAACTTTAGAAAACTGGGAAACAACCATCCCAACAAATGAAGTTCAGAAGATCACAGTAACCAGCCCGTGTGTGGCAGCTAATTCATGTTCACGTTACCAGTACAGATTAATCTATAACATGGAAAAAACTGGTGAGTTACAAATAGAAGAGTAACGATAGTTCCTGTTTTGTAGACACATAGCTATAAAGCATTTCTCCTAGTCCATGCTACTGTCTAGAATATAAAGTGTGAATAATATACCAGATGATGAAGAAGAAAAGGATATTACGAGTAAAAACCTCCTTAATGGGCTAGAAACTGGAATCATTATAACAACTTTCTGGCATTTACCACCATTTTCCCTTCTAAGGATAATCATAACTATATCTCTAAATACACCTAAAGATTTCATATAGCTGTGACTCACTGGTGCAGGTTCAGAAAATAGCAATTAAATTAGTCACTACAACATTTAAAGTTCTCAAATTAAGAGGCCTATGGAACACTAGCTTCTCAGTTATTAATGACACATTTCTATATTTGATAATAAATCCAAAGAATAATTTTGCCATTTCTCCTCATTATTTCAACTGGCAAATATTTTAAATGCCTACTATTTGCAAAATGTAATACTAAGTACCATATTAAAATAATAAAATATAATCCTTTCCAACAAAAGCATCTCAAATCAATTAAATAGTCTATATTATTGGATTTGAATCAATTTTAGAGCCTAATTCTGCCAAGCTTGATCATTTACATGGCACAGAGTATAGATACTTTGAAAAGTTAGGGGTGGGTGCTAGGGAGATAGCTCAGCGGTATAAGTGCTTGACTGGCAAGCATAAGGTCCTGAGTTCAATCCCTAACACAAAAATATAGTTAGGAGTACAACTTCAGCCTTGGCACAGTAATCCACAGAGATTTTAACTATTCTGCTTTTTATCCCCAATTTTTCTGAAAGGCTTGCTACCTGCTGATGCTTCTGAAGTCATATTGCAATCTGCTTTAAATGACCTCTGGTCTATAAAGCCTGACACAGTTCGAGTAGTAAGGACACAAGATTTCCAGAGCTATATATACACAGTAACTTTCATATCAACTAGAGGTAAGCTTGTGTGTCCTTGTGCGTCCTTCTAGGAAAGGAATTTATATCCTGTGCAATACTGCTGTAAAAAATGAAGCTTCCATGAAATGCTAGAGGAAAAGAAATATGTCCAGAGCCTTGCTCGATTTCAGGATACCTAGAAATTAAACAGTTCCTGTGGTAATTTAAACTCTAGTTCTATTTCGAGAAATATGCACCCCAAAGTACAAGACAACCACTATCTGCACTACAAATAAATACACTATTGAACTATTTTTAGAATTAGTGAAAATATTAATTCTGAAAATGAAAGTTAAGGAAATAAACATTGTTAAGGAGACAGCATCCTGGCTGAATCTCTCCTGAAGAAAGGACTCTGTAGTCCACTCCCAACATCACCTTTTCGGACTGCAGCTCCTTCCTGAAGTCTGGCAAAGTTCACTGGAGTATTACAGTGCACGGTGCTCCACAGTGAGAAAAATCTCCTGTGTTTAATGCAGATAGAGATGTTCTTTATTTTCAAAAAAATTTCAATGGATAATTTTTACATTCATATTAATATTTTATGCAAGGAAGATATGAAGATATTATGGCAACTAAAGTTTAGCAAGCACTTTGGCTATTTGTATATATAAGCCCCCCAAAAAAATCCTTGGATGTGTGTTTGTGTTTGTGTGTGTCTTTCATTCGGGCAATAATTATTTTCTAGTTCATGCAAGTAAAATGTTATCTTAATATTTATATTTATTTTATGAGATTAATAATTGTTGAGGGAATGCAGATTTGAAATAGTTAATTTATTTTTTTAGAGCAGTATTTATTTGTTCATTCACTTTTTGAGACAGGATTTCACTAGTTTAGGCTGGTCTCAAACTTGGCTATCTCAGCCTCCCAACTTTACAGTGGTTGTATTCAGAATTGCCAAAATGGGGAAACAACCTGAGGGGCCTTCAGTAGGTTAAGTGAATACACGCACCGGAACAGCTTGCCAGTGGAGTATTAGCCAGCAGTAAAATTAAGTGCTTTTCAAAGAAGCCCAGCCAAGTGTGGGGGTGCTCCCTTGGAGCCCCAGCAGGAGGCAGGGGAGCTGCAGGACTGAAGAGCTAGCCTGGACAAAGTTGCAGGATCGTCTTCACAGCAGAAGCAAACTTCACTGGGCCAAAGCTGTGGAAAAGCTACATTGCACGTACTCGGCATTGTAGAGAAGCGAAGCCATGGAGATGCTAGGTCTTCTCAAGTGTGGGAGGGCGTCTAGACTGGGCAGCACGGAGGCTCGGGGCAGCATGGAGGCTCAGGGCAATGAAGTTGATACTACATTGAACGCATCATCAAGTGAAATTACTAAACATTGGCAACAACCCAAATATTCATTAACTAAGATTGGATATCATTTTATACAATAATTTATCTATTGATGTATATCTATGGATATAAGGATTGTATCTTTTCATAAATAGAATAATATTCAGCCACAAAGAAAGTTAAATTTGAAGCTTCTTTTCCTGTATTTATGGAAGGGACTACAGGGTGTTCAGGGTCTCACTACTAGATCAGACTTGTAGTGATCTGCCTGTTTACAGCCTCCCAAAAGCTGGGATTACAGGTCGCACTACCATGCCCATTCTCAGTTGCTGTCTCAGTGTGCCCTTGCAGCAGGCCTGGGGATCGAACCCGTGGCCCCTGCTTGCAGGCACTTTAATCTGCTGAGCTATTTGGCAGGCCCAGCGATTTGGCCGGCCCTGAGGCTTCCGTAGGTAAATGGATGCAATGAGAACATACCCATAAGTGAAATAAACAGACCCACATGTGTAAGTATCACATTGTCTCCCTGGTGCAAGAAGCCACATCACATAGATACTGTGAAATGGGAAGAAACTATTCAAAAGAAAGAGAAACTGAGGTGGAGGAAAGGAGAAAGTAAGGAAGGGAAAAGAAAAAAAAAAAGCACACACACACAAGATAGTTAAGATAGTTATACTACCAGCTTGTCTCAGTTCATTGTAAAGAAAGGTTTGTGCTAATATTGTTTGGACACTTTTCATGCCTATGTCTTGTACTCTGAGTAAGTACTTTGAAGATAGCCATACACAGTGTATTAGCTATTGTTCCTCTCCTATTACACTGTTTTGAAATTTTGTTTTTTTTTCTTCAAAATAAAAAAAACTCTAAAATTTTCACAAAAGTTACTTTGTCCAAACATTATGTAAGTGAAATCATGGTTATGCTTGTCGATCTACTACTTAGAGATCGTCGATCTACTACTTAGAGATCAGAGAGAAATTGCAAGGTTCCAGCAGTGACCCTGAGAAATACAGTCCCACCACCGAAACTAGGTATATTTTATGTTACCCGGGAGAGAAGATCAGTGAGATTTCGCATAAAGCATCCTTCCAACGAGTAGAAACTTCTGAGAACAAGGCCTTCCTTCTCTCAGAGCAGCAGTATATGAATAAACCTCGCATGTGGAGCTTCTTTCTGGAAGTTACATTTATGTTGTGTCCCACTCAGGCCTTTTGTGCTAAAATAAAGTGATTGCCACAAACATAAAATAATTTCTGGAACATCCTCCTGCCCACTGATCTTTCCTTCATGGTCAAGTACATCCTTTTGATTATTTTATGTCTATTTCCTCTTAATCCATAGACACAGAATCAAGTAGATAGTACTTTGTGGTTTTGCTATTTCTGTGATAGACAAACTACTTGAATTTAAGGACCTTCATTTTCCTTCCTTTTTTGTATGTGTTAATGCAATCTCTCATGTGAAGCTGATTTTGTTAAGTTTGTTTATTTATTACAGATGTTCACTTTAAAAATTCATCTATTTCTTAAAATTCTGCTTGCTAATTCACTGCAGGTGACTTTGATCTGCTCAGTTATGAAGTATTTGAAGGGAATAATGTTACAGTAGACGTTGTGGAGCAAACCAAAGGAAAACCCAGTCTGGAGACCTTCACGCTGAATTGGGATGGCGTTCTTTCTAAGCCTCTTACTCCGTGGTCATCAGAAGCTGAAGTACTCTCCATCACCTCTCCTACCATGTGCCTTCCCAGCATCCTCTCCCAGTGTGCACAGGCTATTGATAGATGAGAAAGAAAGAGAAAAAGAAAGAGGAAGGCATTGCTTCTAAAAAAATCACCACAAATCATTTAGCATTTTACCAACCTATCAAAATTTATATGCTGTAAATATTTTGTCTAAAAAGGGACACAGAGTTCACCTAGGACAACCACCTCTTTTTTTTCTGGACAAAGCATCTCGAAATTATCAGAGTCCTGCTTTGCTCTTGTGTAGGCTTTGGGTCCCTCTACCCACCCTCGCACTGTTCTCCATCCCAAATCCAACTTGTCAGCATATAACAGTCAGAATGTTCTTGAGGGATGTGGTGTAGTAAAAGCCTAATGATAAAGTTTAAGTATCTTGTTTATTTCATCCAATAAAACCCAACTAAATGTAAAGAATACTTTAAGCAAGGGCTGGCCAGATAGCTCAGTAGACTAAAGCACCTACTTAGACTAGCTCAGTGACCTGGGTTCAATCCCTGGTGTGCTATGCCAGCCCTGCCCCCAGGGCATGCTGAGATGGCAACTGAATGTAATCCCAGTGCTTGGGAGTCTGAAAACAGGAGAATCACTATGTGTCTGATCTGTGTAGTGAGACCCTGTAGACCGTGTACTAAATACTTTTTTTAAAAAGAGTACTTTAAGCAGCAGTAACAGTTGGCATAGTGGACGGGAGTCATTCCACAGTGAGGAGACCAGAAAAAATAAACTTAGTTATAATGGACAAGGTAGGAAAGGGAAATTCTCAGATCTATGCCAGTGGACTTGATGTTTCTGCATGTGAGGCAGCAGTTCATAAGAAAAGAATGCTTATGGGCTATGGAATCAGGCCAAGCACTTGTACAATGAGTTTAAGTCACTATTGGCCTGATGACTAGAAACTATACATTGTATCAAGTCTTAAATTTAAGCAACAATTATGTTTGTGCTTTGCAAGAGAAATACACATGTCTTAAAGGAGAGTCATGAATGAGCGCCACTTCTGTATAGTTCAGAGATATTTATTATTTTTAGATAATCATAAATAAGAGGGCTATATTATTCCTCTCTTAATTGGAAAAATATAGTAGAGCCTATAATGATTTTTTTCCCCAGAGAATTTTTCTTTCTTTTTGTTTTGTTTTTGTATTTAGTACAGAGTCAACAGGGCCTCACTACTAGATTGGACTTGTAGTGATCCTTCTGCTTACAGCCTCCCAAGAGCTGGCATTACAGGCTTATGCCACCACACCCAGTCTCAATCACCATCTCAGCGTGCCCTGGGGACAGGGCCAGCACTGGCAGACCCGGGGATCGAACCCCCAACCCCTGCATCTGCCTAAGCAGGCATTTTAATCCTCTGATCTATTTGGCTGGCCCTCCCTAGTGAATTTTGAGTTCATTGGGAAATCTTTTATTTGGAATCTGTTTCACTGGTTTATTAAATTTTCTTCATTACTCTTTATAACACAAATAAATACACATGTATATGTTATGTAATAACTAAATTAATAATAGCCAGTTGAATATAAAACTATTGTCTTCCTTAAAACTCCTAAAAAATCACTGGCTACTAAAATGATTATGTTAACAAAATATTTAGGAAATGATTCCACAATTCTGGCTAAATATGGGAAATATGACAATGCCTACTAGAATTAATTAGTACAATTAATAGTAGAATATTAATTGAAGATTAGTGGGTAAATTACTAAGTGAAGAATTATTTTATGAAAATGGAATTACTAAAAAGCATATTGTTAATTTAGTTTCAGGTAGCTATGGAAGAAATGGTCAGCACTAAATGTTCACCACAAATTGCACATTTTGAAGAAGGATTTGTTGTGAAATACTTCAGAGACTATGAAACTGATTTTAACTTGGTATGATGGTTTAATGCACTTTGAACCTGACAGAATAAGAATTTATGTAAATGTTGGAAATTTCTGATTGGGAGGGGGTAGAATTCTTTTGTTATTCAAAGTCAAATTTCAAAAATAATCATGTTATAGATTTATTAATAGGGCTTATTCTAGCATCTTCTTTCATTACAAAATGATTCCTTTATGAAAACTATGTCTACACTACACACAAATTTTACTTGCTCTACTCAAAGTAGGTAAGATGAGCAAATGTAGGAGCTACAGTGGTTTTATTTGTTATTTTTCATATGGTATAAAAAATGTCCTGTTTCTTTACTGGCTTCAGCAAACAGAATTATATACTAATTGCTTTTCTTGCTCTTTGAAATTACTCTGTGGTTGTGGTCATCTTTCCTTTGATATTTATTTACCATACCTACAGAAGAAAGTTAAATATACTTCCTACTTCTTATTTTGAAGACTTGAGGAATCTAGATTCACACTATTTCCAAGTGAATATTATTAGGATAAGAAATAAACTATTAAATTATATTAAAACAGAAAGAAGCTATTTAGTTTAGATCACTATCTTAGAAGTAAACCATGAATCTTTAAAAATATGTATCACAAAGCACTTTATATGGGCAGATTTATTAATGGGACAAAAGGAAAATCTATTTCATGAGTTACTTTTTCAGTTTAATCAATGTATTTGTATCAAAATATAGTACTAGCAGCCGTAAAGTTATACAAGTGATTTACTTTCTATTGCTTCCCTATTGCATCTACTCTTGCCATCTCTACATGCATTTCTGTGCTCCACCCAACCTTAACTATTCACACTCCTAATACCAGGCTCTCTCTGTCTCTCCATCCATCTCTGTCTTTCTGTCTCTCTCTGTCTTTCTCTGTCTCTCTCTCTCT